TTTTTTTTTTGTTTTTTTTGGTTTTTTTTTTTGTTATGGTGTTCATGGAATGAAATACTTCATAGAGTGATTATCTTTGCAGTGTCTCAGAAATGACCAAGGAGAAACAGAAATGAACCCTAAGATGAGAGTCAGGAGTTTGAGAGCACTGCTGTGTGATAATGGATGTAGAGGATGCTGAGGGAGGGTGTTGAACCCTGTTCTCAGCTGCAGAAATAAGAAACAAGAGTCCCTTTAGAGAGGCTCAGCCCAGCCCAGATTGCTGTTATGTTCATTCTTTCCACGTCTTCTCTTTCTCTTTTGGCAACCCTGTGTTTGTGGGAACAAAAGTGCCAAAACCRTTTGAGGGGAAGCAGATTTTGCAGCCTGGATGGTTTGGAAATCTCCCATACATAAGGAAGTGGATCTATCATCTTGTAAGATATTCAGCCTACATCTGAAGGCTCAAAAACCTGGGATGAGAAACTTTCTCATGCAATTTGTGGAATATTGCTGAAATTTCTGTCACAAGTTCTTCCCAGCGAGTCTGGTGCTGCTGCCACCTCATCACAGGGTGTTGGGGATCCTGGCTGGCTGCTGTTGGTCCATCCCTCCACTGCCAGTAGGAGCCTCAAAATACATGGAATTTCAGAGGAAATCTGCTTTTGTCATTTTTCCTGCTCTCATTATAAACTTCTGCTCACATTCTAAGGCAAAGAATCTCCAGGGTGGGCTGCCTTGCTCAGTGATGACCAATGTGTGAAAGTAAACTGCTTCATTCCTGAATTCTTTGATCTTATCCAATATCTCAGGCCATGCTAAAATCCCGTGTTTTTCAATGCTCCTTTCCTTCCTTCAGCTTTTTGGTCCCACAAATTTTGCTCAATATTGAATTCATTTTCAAACACACGTGCCAGACCAAATACTCACTGCGACACTGTCCAAATTTTTTTTTTTGTTTGTTTTGTTTGTAATGCCTTGATTATGTTAATGCAATGAGTTTGACTTTGCTGGAGTTTAACCAGCTGGTATCAGAAAAGCTGAAACTCAGAAAGAACGTGTTTATTGTAGTATCAGGCTGTGGGTTTGGATTGTTGTAGATTCGTTKTCTTCAGTGGGATTTATTCGTGTTTGAACTCCTGGAAGTGAAAACAGGGCAGAGCCGTTAGACCCTGATTCATCTCTGGTGCCAGCTGTTACCTTTGATGTCTGCTTTGTGTGCAGAAACTGTTGAGATGCAGGGTTTTTAGGAAGATTTTAGCAGACTAAGGCTCTTAATAGAGAAAGTAACAAAGAAAGTCTCTACAAATCTGTAATCTTTGTTTCCCAACATAAATACAAGCTCTGTATGTCTGAAGTTGCATTTCTCGTCATTGCCAGGGTTGGATTTAAGGCAATGGAAAACATAGGTTGGAAGAGATTGCCTGTTCTAAGCCCATGGTTGCTATGCATGTGTCTRACTGTGGCTCCAGAGGCAGCTCTTTGTAAAAATGTGACACATTATTATAAAAATAATAGGTTGAGAAACGTGCATTTCTTTACTATCATCAGATTGGGCCTATGAGAGAGCWGGAGAGGGACTTTTCACAAGGACATGTTGTGACAGGATGAGACAGAATGGCTTTGAATTGTCAGAGAGCAGGGTTGGATGGGATATTGGGCAGGAATTGTTCCCTGTGAGGGTGGGCAGGCCCTGGCACAGGGTGCCCAGAGAAGCTGTGGCTGCCCCTGGATCCCTGGCAGTGCCCAAGGCCAGGCTGGACATTGGGGCTGGAGCAGCCTGGGACAGTGGGAGGTGTCCCTGCCATGGCAGAGATAGGATGAGATGACCTTTAAAACCAACCCAAACCATTCTGTGATCCTTCTGTTTCCCACACGGTGTCTCCCACCACTGTCCTCTTCCCCAGACACCACCTCCCTCCCTTGGCACCATCCCCAGCCTGTCTGGCATCCACATCAGGGCTGGGTTTCTCCCAAATTTCAGCARTAAATCTTTGAGAGTGAATGTCAGGCTGTATTTCTGCCTGGAGCCTGTGGAGATGCTCAGACCTGCAGGCACAAACYCCTTTGTGCCCGATGGAGTTGGACCCACGAGGTGTCAGATCCCTCCCTKGTTCTGATCAGAGCTGTGCTGCTGATCCAAAACATCCATCCAAAAACATCCATCCTGTCCTGTCCCTGCAGCCTCTTCTCCTGCAGTCTGGCACTTCCTCTCACAGATCCAGCGTGCTGCTCCAGCAGCAGCCCTGACAAACCTTCCCTGGCTGCTCCAGAGGAACCCCTGGCACCCCAAATTAGGCAGCACAATCCCCCCAGCACTGGATTTCACACCTGTCCCTTCCCACCTTCAAATCCCCCCTAAATTCCCATCACAACAGGTTGCTGCTTATCTCCCCTTGCATCCAAATTGGCCCGTGCCCAGAAACAGAGGGAGAAAATGGCACTTCCAAAAGCCGAGATGTATATTCTGTCACTTGGATTTAAGATGTTTTTCRTCTTCTGAAATATTTTCATCTGATTTGAATATTCTTGCTGGAAAGCAGGGCTTTGGATACAAATGTGCAGGGAGCTGGAAGCTCACAGCTTATGGGGTCTGCWGTCTCCTGTGTAGGACATGGAGCTGCTTTTTTGTGTCTCTGACGGGGCAGAAGTTGGTGGGCACAGGTGGAGATCAGAAGCCAAGGTCAGGTTCCTGTGCACTGAGGTGCCTCCTGCCTCCTGCTGTGTGTGCATCCAGGAGAATGTAAAAATTTGCTTTTCTTTYCACCTTTTTAACACACACTTGACTGCACAAACCCAGGGTTTGCTAATTGGTGGCACGGGGTGAAACGAATGCTGTAGMAGGTTTTGCAACGAGCATTTGCTGATGTGTGTTACAGCTAAATGAAAAATACGAATATTGCTAAAGCAAGTATCAAAGCTGTTGGCTGAATTCACTGTGTTCAGTTTGGTACATTCCATGAAGGACAAAATGGTCTTTCCAGCTATTCATGGAGAACATGGAATCATAGAATGGTTTGGGTGGGAAAGGTGCTCAGAGCTCATCCCATTCCACCCCTGCCGTGGGCAGGGACACCTTCCACCATCCCAGGGTGCTCCAAGCCCTGTCCAACCCGGCCTTGGACACTTCCAGGGATCCAGGGGCAGCCTCAGAGTCACAAATTTCATCCTAACACCTAATTTAAATCCCTCCATACTCCATCCCTGCTGTTAAAATCGATCTGGATGCAGCCATGCACGCACACTTTCACTGGTACAGCACAACAGCAGCGTCAAACCATCGCTCTTATTTTTACATGCAGCRTGTGAATAGGTGTGGGTGTGTGTTAACATGTTTTGTCAGGGGGAGAAATGTTTCTCCAGAGGCCAGGGATATGTGTGGAACAAAAAAGGAATATTAATTTGCTGGGGTAAAAAAGCAGCATCATTAAAGATGCGCTGAGGATGCCCTGTTCCTGTGGTTTGCTGTGTGAGTCTGTCCTGCACAGCCTGTGGCTGCTGTCATTTGCATTATTTTATGTATGAGCCTGAAGAAACCAGCCTGAAAGACAATTACTGTTTTTAATCAATGAAAGCAAGGAGAGGAAAAGATAATCAATGGGCAAGTGCCAGCAGGGCTGTTCCTTTCCCCCCTCCTTACCTCGGCGATTCTCTGTGCTCTGGTGCTGTCAGATCAAAGGGTGCTGTGCTTCAGTCAGCTCTGCAGCTCTCAGATCTCAGCTGCCTCTCCTGGGATCAGGATTTGGGGCTGTGGGACTCTGCCAGGGACGAGCAGGCGCTCAGGGCTGGGGGCAGCTGCACTTCTGAGAGCTGGTCAGCCTGGTTTTGCTGTCATTTTTGTATTTAAAATATGAAATTAGTTTCTCAGGTTGCTGATGTGCGTTCTTCCAATTCTTCCTTGGCTCCAGCTGTCAATTCCTGCAGTGTTAACAATGGGGGATGTGAGCAGGAGTGTGTTCAGCTCGGTGAGGATCACTACAAGTGCCAGTGCCAGCCAGGATACCAGCTGAGGGCAGATGCCAAATCCTGTGAAGGTGAGTTCTGCCTGAAGACACGCTGTAAAGGCAGTTTAAAACACCCCAGGATGGTGTTTGGGGTCACTGTGCTCATTCTTGTTTCCCTCTGTGTGCCAAAAGCTGCTTTAGGATTGTTTATTTATCAGTATTTTAAGCTGACACGTGTTTGAGGTGTGAGGTTCACTTTGAATCACAACTCTGAACAAGATTTGGGTCTTGTACATCCCTGGCTGTTCCTTGCATGCTGATGGTGATGACATGAGCTAGGAACTCCATCATGATTTAATTCTAACATTTTATTACTCATCAAGTTGCACACAGAGTTTGCCTGTATTACACGCTTTAGCCTACAAAAAGTCTTGTCTTTATCTCCTTTTGGCTTATCACAGCCTGATTCATTCATCCTGCCCTTCAGGCTTCTGAGCCCTCTCTCCAGCAGAACAGCAGTGCTACCTTTGGGTTTGATTGTTGTTTTTCTCTCCTCGTATATCTTCACATATTCATCAGTTTGTGAGGCAGCCCCCCCATTCCCCAGCACACACACACACCCTCCAACATGCCAGAGAGAGAGAGGGCCAAATTCATGGATTTATTGAGCTGAAATTCCTGTCACAAAACTGTTTCCATATGGCTCCTCTTCTGCTCAGAGGAGATTTTGTACGCTGTGTATGAAGTGTGAGTAAATCCTGCTGTTCAGATTGTGCAGAGAGCATTTCCCCTGCAGCCCTGCCCTCCACAGAGCTGCACCCACAGCCTGGTTGGGGTCTGTGTCCCATGGGATGGTCACATTTTGTCCCTGAGATTGTGAGGAAGAGTCAGAAAAGGGGAGCTTTATGGAGAAGGGGTGTCAGAAACCTTCCTCTGCTGTTCTCCATCCCATTTCCTGACATCTCAAGATGTTCTTGGCCAGCTGGCTGAGCAGACCCCTGCATAGGGGTTTGGGGTGGGATTTATGGAGTTGGGGCCGTGGTAGGGTCAGTGTGGCCAGCCTGGTGGGCTCAGTGTTGTCCTGGAGTGGTCATGGCACAGCTCAAGCTGCTGTGGGCAACCTCATCCTCTGTTCCAGCTGCCAGGACTGGTCAGCCCAGCAGCCAAACCAGCAGCCTGGGACCCCAAAAATGGCAGCTTTGGCCACCACTGTTCACCCCCTCCCGTGGTGGGGCTGAAGAGGGTCAGCCACCCACCAAAGGCAAGAATTTATCACCAGCCAGGAATTGCTGACCCGTGGAGAAGGGGAAAGGTCAGCCTTGTCTGCAGGTCAGGCATTACCTGGGTGCTGCTCACCTCAGGGTGTTTAAATCAAAATAAATAAATGCAGCCCCCTCAGGAGGGCAGCTGTTCCTGGATCTGTCCTGCAAGCAGGGCTCAGCTTGCGAAATAAAGCCAGAGAAGGATGCATTTCTCTCCAAAAACACCTGAATGAAGAATGTCTGGGACAGAAAAGTGCTAGGTGAGCCTATGGGCAAGATTTTACAGGCACAGATGAGGCTGAAGCGCTCATGGATGCCTTTGGTTTGTCAGTTTGAGGTGTTTCAAGTGGAAGAGGTGGGACGAAGTGGGCCTGGCTGGTTTTTTATATTCCAACCACAAAGCTTTGGCTGCTCCAGTCATGGTTTGGATGGAGAAACCACAATGTCACGAGGGTGTTTGCCACAGCAGGTGACAATCCATCACAGCAGCTGTAGGTGTTGTGCAGGTGTGTGTYCATCCCTGTGGATTCCTTGGGAGCRAATGCTGCACCCACAGCCCTGGRAAGCCTTAGAGAAACACCAAACCTGGCAATTTGGCTCTTTACCWCTTCATATTTCCTCCAGTGTGAAGTTATGCCTGCTGTGAACAAGAAAATTAATTTGATAAGGTCCAAACCTCTTTACTTTAGGTGCTCTAGGGGTTATGGCAAGACTGGAGACCCTGTTCTTTACAGAAATAAAGGATTGGGAGCTCTGCCCCATCCCTGGGGGTGTCCAAGGCCAGGTTGGACAGGGCTTGGACAGACTGGGGCAGTGGAAGGTGTCCCTGCCATGCCAGAGGTGGCACTGGATGGGCTTTAAGGTCCCTTCCAACCCAAACCATTCCGTGATTCTGTGTCCTGAGGCACCTGGGAGATGAAACCACGCCAAGAAAATTTTCACCATAGTGTTTAACAGCTTGGAGTAGAGCTTTGTAGGATGGAGCCTGTTACCTACAAAGTTATTAAATGAACCAGTAAGAGGCAAAAGTGTGAAAAGAAAGAACACTAATGAGTTATTTTTTGCTTTTTCTGAAACCTGCCTAGAACAGGAACAGACGTGTCACTGGAAAGCAAGTCAGTCACTGATTGCCTGATGTCCTGAAGATCTTTCCTTTGCAAACTTACCTCATCCAAGGATTTCCAAGGCTGCTATCTTTATTTGAATTACTGTGTTTTACTAACATCTACCATGTAATTTGTTGTTTGCCTGTTGTCATGTCKCAGAGCATTACAAGCTTTACTCCCTGCTGTAATCATCCTCAAATTAAAGCTTCAGCTTTGCTCTGAAAAACCTCCATAATATTCAGGTTTAACAGATGCTGTTTGATAGCGATTTCATTTAATTTACCCAAATAGAAAAAGAATCGGCAAATAACTCAATATTTCATATCAGCAAGGAGCGAGCTCTTGCTTGGAGCTAAATCCTTTGTAGACCGCAAATTGTCGGGCTGCAGAGCCAACTTGTCAGCCTTGCAAGCGTCACGCACGATGAAGCACTGCTGTTCCTTGGAAACCTATTTGCAACCTATCGTGTCAGAAGTCCAATTTCAGCTCTACATCCCTAACAGTGCTTTT